TTTTTAATAAAATTTTATTAAAATAAATAATTTTAAAATATTTTTTACCTAACCTTTTAAATATATATTTATTTTTTATATAAAAAATCACCTCTGAATTATTTCCTTATTAAAAATGAAGTTCACAACATGGAATTTGCTTCGCATAATCAAATACCTTTTTCACAACCATCCACATATCCAATCATGTAAAGTTTTCCAACATCCTCTTTTTTTTTTTTCTTCCAATGAACAAACGCGTCTGACTGACCGTACTTTCCGTCCACAACAACCCTTTGACAGTAAAATTTTGACTTATAATTTTTTTCAAAAAACCCCACCGAATACGTCGAAGAACCAAGTCCTTCATGATTCAGAGTCCAACTTTATTTTACATATAAATATAGAACAGCTTCTTCCCCCCATTTCACCACAAAATTTTTGAAATTTGATTCCTAAACGCATCCTTATCCATGGCCACCCTTCAATCTTCGTCCCCATTTTGTTCTTTCCATTCTTCTTCATCTTCCACCTCAAGAAAAATCAGAGCTTCTCTGTACAACCATAATGTTTCAGTCTCCAAGCTTCTTGCTCATGAGCTTAAACGAAGGAGAATGTTACAGACCCTGAAAACAACAAATACCCCCATAGAAATGGAGCCTAAAATGGAAGTCTGTGAGCGAAAAAACAATGAAGATCGAGTATTGCAACAGATGTATGCAATAATGAACATTGTTGCGGATAGAGAAGAGATGCACAAGAACATTGGAGAGCAAAGGGATAACTGGAACCATCTTTTGCTGGGTTCTGTGAACGGAATGATAGTTACGGCTGCTACAATGGCGGGACTTGCGGCTGTTGCTAGAGGTGGGACACCAGCTTTAGCTCTGAAGCTCTCCTCTACCCTGCTTTACATGGCAGCGACAGGCGTTTTGGTGGTGGTGAACAGGATACAGCCGTCGCAGTTGGCAGAAGAACAGAGGAATGCTTCAAGACTGTTTAAGCAGCTGCATGAGGAGATCAGGGGAAGCATTGCTGTAAGAAACCTGAATTACGGTGATGTGAAGAATGCAATGGAGAAAGTGTTGGCCTTGGATAAGGCATACCCACTTCCCTTGCTCGGAACAATGCTGGAAAAGTTTCCATCAGTTGTTCAGCCCGCGGTGTGGTGGCCGGAGGAAAAGCCTCAACCAGAGATGAAGCTCCAGGGTACAGAGAGAAATGCGTGGGATAAGAAGCTTGAGGAGGAAATGATGGAAGTAGTCGATGTTTTGAAGAGAAAAGACACTGAAGAATATCTGAAACTAAGCAGAAGAGTCCTGAAAATCAACAGAATTCTAGCCATCTGTGGCCCATTCTTCACCGGAATAGCCGCAGTTGGGTCAGCGTTGATAGGATCAACCTTCTCTGGAATTGCTACCTACTTGGGAGTGGTTTTTGGGGCTTTGGCCGTTGTTGTTAACACTCTGGAGCACGGTGGCCAGGTTGGAATGGTTTTTGAAATGTATAGAAGCTCTGCTGGGTTCTTCAAGCTGATGGAGGAAACTATAGAATCGACAGTAGAGGAGAGGGGAGTAGATGTGAGGGAAAATGGAGAATTATTTGAAGTGAAAGTGGCTCTTCAGCTTGGAAGGAGTTTGACAGAGCTCAGAGACCTGGCCGGCGCCGGACATAGGGAGACCGAAGAAGAAGAGTTTGCAAGCAAGCTCTTTTGACGTTCAAATTTTATTTGTCAACACTGTTTAACTGTACAAGAACCCAATAATCATTATAGAAAACAAATTGTAATTAAAGAAAATTTTTTAAAAAATAAATAAATGCAGACTGGTTCAACAGGATCATTTCATGTTTAGAGGGTGTTTGGTGCATATTGTGAAAAAAGCTTTTTGACTCTAAAAGCACAAGCTTCACCAAACGGGTCAGCTTCCCAAACATGCTGCAACTTTCTAGAAGTTCATCTTCTTCCCGTTCCTTTGCAAAGCCCGGAAGCACCAATTTCTTGCTTTTGCGGGAGTTTCTCGCTTCTTGTTTAATGAAATTGACATGGTATTCCCATTTTATCCTCACACTTCCTTTTATTTACAAAAAAACCAGTATATAAGGGTTCATTTTATAACTCCTCTTTCTTTCCCCTTTCTTTCTTTCTTTGTCTTTGAAGCAACCGAATGTGCACTGTTCTCCCTCCCTTCTTGCCCACATTCTTCCAAAGCAAATTGGAAATATAAAAGCATCGTCAGTCATCGAGCTTTTTTCTCCCTAACTACTTCAAAGCAGAAAAGCCCATTTCCCCTCATTGAAAAATCCCCACCAAAATCCCATTTCTCCTCCTCTTGTGAGTCTCCTTCCTTTTCTCTTTTTTTTTTTCCTTTTTTGGTGTTTCTACTACTAATTTGGTGGTGATGAATGATGATTGTTGGTTGGTAGTGTGAGTTGGTGAAAGTTTTAATTTTTAAGCCCTT